TGAGGATCTAAAAAGGTTGCATCCCTATGTCATGCTAAAGGAATACGAATAAAGATGACATTCCGAAGTAAAATGGTGTGCGGAGAACATCTTCTAGTGTGCATTTGTGGAGACACACACAGCTTACTAGCACACACAAGGGCTGCTCCTTAGGACCCTGCAAGGGAGAGGAGCCCCCCCCCCCCATAAAACAGGATATCAGGACCAGCACTCAGGGGACCAGCTGATTCTGCAGGAAACCAAAACTTTGAAACATTGAGGAGCAGAGTCCATTGTACGTGATTTGATCAGCATTTGACACAGCAACAAAACCTTTTGATTTTATTATCATTTTAATTCTTATGCTGCCTTCACAGCTTGTAGTGCAAAGCTTGTTGAACATAGCAACAGCAAGGTAAAATCTGATTTGCGGGCAGGTATGAGTTCAACGGACAAACACAATTTCAGGAGCATAAGCAGGGTGGTGCAGACAGACCAGATTTAAACAGAACCAGGCGATCTGGGTGCTCTGAACTCAGTTCAAAGGTGACTAATGAGGTCAGGTGTGAGAATCTGCAGCATGGTCTTTCTGCAGTGCAGGAGATGTTCTAGCAGCACACATATTTTATAAAGCTTTTTTTTTTTTACAGAAGCTTACTATTCTAGCTTTATTAGACTCTAGGGACGGTGTTTTTTGCCTAGGGTTTAATTATACTGTAAGCTGCTAGGTAAAAGGAATTTTGAAACACAGCACCTTAGAAACACTTGAAAAAGAAAAAAGGTCAGCATGTATATTTTGTGATTTATTCATGCATCATTTGTGACCTTAGCATGATTTTTTTTTTTTTATTACAAGGTGAACTATGCCATTCCCGGAATGGCAATCGGTCAATATCAAAATGATCAAAAGCGGGGGAGAAGAGCTTGTTATCTTATAACCGGAGCATTTCTGAAGAGCATCTCAGTTTAACAACGTCCCTGAAGGATCCGGAACACATCACCCGCCGCAATCTCCCTCCTCATCTCGCTGATTGCAGTAATTGAGCGTGTTCTGCACCTCCCATATTTCTCCGCCACTTGTCGCCCTCTAATTTGTGCTTAGCGGATATTCTCTCCAGCGCGGAGAAACGCGATGGGGGATTTCAATCTTATCTATCAACATTTTGCATAATCATGTTTGCCTTCAAACACAGCCTGGAGCAGTGTGCATTTATCTGTGTACAGATGTAAGTAAAAAATTGCTGCATGCGCGTTTGTTTGAAGTTGGGCTCGAAAACTGGGCCAACCGCGCGGCGATAAAATGTAAAAAAAAGTTAGTTTGAAGGGGAACTCCGGGAAAAATAAAGCAAAGTATAACGTTACCTACTAGGGATGCACCGATACCAGTAGCGTACTCGTGACAATGCCACCATACTAAAAACCAATACAGACCTTTCATTTTCCACTCTTGCTGGGGACCTGCGGCAGCCTTCTGGGAAACTCGCAGTGCCTGCTTACAGTGGCAGTGTTCTGTTAGAAGTCTGGACCTGTGATAGAACACCGGCCGCATATCTTCCCCCACTGCTGCAACCAGTGCCACCCGCACATATCCCCCACTGCTGCCACCAGCGCCACCCGCACATCTCCCCCACTGCTGCAACCAGCGCCGCCTGCATATCTCCCTCACTGCTACCACTAGCACCATTCGCACATCTCCACCACTGCTGTAACCAGCGCCGCCCGCAGATCTCCCCCACTGCTGCCACCAGTGCCACCCCCACATCTCCCCCACTGCTGCCACAAGCACCACCTGCACATCTCCCACACTGCTTGAACCAGTGCCGCCTGCAAATCTCTCTCACTGCTACCACATCACCGCTGCTGTAACCAGCGCCACTCGCACATCTCCCCCACTGATGCCACCAGTGCCGCCCGCAAATCTCCCCTACTGCTGCAATCAGTGCCGCCCACAAATCTCCTCCACTGCTGACACCAGCACCACCCGCACAACTTCCCCACTTCTGCCACCAGCACATCTTCCCCACTTCTGCCACCATCACCACCCGAACATCTTCCCCACTTCTGCCACCAGTGCCGCCCGCAAATCTCCCCCACTGCTGCCTCCAGCACCACCCTCACATCTTCCCCACTGCTGACACTAGGGCCACCCGCAAATCTCCCCCACTGCTGCCTGCAGCACCACCCTCACATCTTCCACACTGCTGACACTAGTGCCGCCAGCAAATCTCCTCCACTGCTGCCACCAGCACCACCCGCACATCTCCCCCACTGCTGCCCCAGCTGAGACCTTCTGCATTTGCCCCAGCTGAGACCGTCTGCATTTGCCCCAGCTGAGACCCTTCACACCTGCCCTTGCTGAGACTCTCTGCTGAGACATCAAGCCGGCACCCCGGAGCAGAGCTGCAGCACAGAGTATGTAGCAAATTCATATACTCATATACTGTACGTCAATTCTCAAGGTGGGTTTTCTGATGATGACAACAGCGGGCCATGCTTGTGTAATGTGTTTTGGGTATGAAGATGACAATGCAGTAGAACCATTAGAAGATAGGAACAGAGCGTTCCACCACTGAGCACTGGAGGATTGGAGAGGGGGAATCCCTGCGGGGAGTGGTGACTGACCACCACCGCTCTCTGCAGGAAGATGATCGGGAAGTGAGCGAGCGACGCTATGTGTTCGCTCACTTCCCGATCAATAGAGCTGACGTGTGACAATTGAAATTGTCACATGTCGGCTCTAACTATGAGGATCAGTGTAAATCACTCACCTCATAGTTCTCCTTTAAAAAGCGTTAGCTGGGGCTCAGATTTAATTTATTAGTCAAGTCAATCTAAATCTGCTAGTCCATGTAAAGCTGTCCAAACACCTTGCGATTATCGTTCGATTTCCACTCGAGATCGGGTTTTCGTACGAAAATCAGTCAGTTGATGGGAAGTGAACGATCATAATTACTGTACAACTGGCCGAATTTCCTCCATCGGTCAGGCTAGAAATTATTTTTCGAATTGTACGAAAAATCGATGGATTAGTGGCATTTGCGTACAGAAAAAAACCCAACATGAACACTGCACATGCTCAGAGGAAAATCCATTGTGTCGATCAATTCGGCCAGTTAGTATTGCTAATGAGCGATAATCGAAAATCTACATTGGTCTGTGCATGATGGGGTATTCGAGTGGAAATTGAAGGGGGGGGGGGGTTTTGATGACCAGACAAAATAAATCTAATGATAATTATAAGATATTTGGCCAGCTTAATTCTTCCCTCTACACAGAGTGACAATACTGTTGTCCAAGGGTGGGTCTGTTGCTCCACCATAGAGCGTAGCCACTAGGGATGCACCGATACTTTTCGAGTACCAGTGCCGATACTTGGCATTTTCATGAGAACGACCAGGGTTGCAGCGGTTGCAGCTGGGACCTCACTCTGGCGCTCCACCACTGTCCTGAAATCATTGGTCTGTATTGTTTTAGAAAAACTGTCACATGACAATAAACAAAAATGTATCAGTACTTGGAAAAATGGTATCAGTGCATCTCTTATATATGTTTATAAAAACAAAATCATACATTAAAACAGAGATGTACAAATCCCAGGAGCTCGTGTGCTTCTTACAAATGACAGCTGCCTCCTAATTTTTGAATTTTTCTCTAGTCTAGTCTTGGAGCTCGAAAAGTATCTGTATTTGTACGGAGAACGGAACTTGGTATCGGTGTATCCCTATTAGCCACCCTAAGACAAGAAGTGTGACAGGAAGTGTGTTACTGGCCAAATAATCCGATGAAAGCAAAAAAAAAAACGACAAAAAAAAACTAATGCAGACACCACATTTAAAGATTGGTAAGCTACGCTATATTAATTTTTTGTTTTGGGGTTTCCATATGCTTTAAAATGGCACTAAACTCAGGAGTTAAAACTTAAAAATACATTCAAGTAGCTTAACTGTTAACAAAAATGTATCTTATTTGTGTATCACTCGCTGTAGATCCTCAAATCATCTCTGAATTGGTGCTGACACTGTCCTTCCTTCTAGAGGGGGGCTACGTTTGCTCCCCATGATCCCTGTGTGTGTTGTAAAGTAGCCACCGCTCCAACCTCACTCCCGTGATGGACTACAATCTCATGTTTAGTTTACTAATTTGTTTTGAGATTGTAGTCCATCACAGGAGCGAGCTTTGAGTTGTGACTACTTTACAACACACACAGGGACCATGGGGAACAAAAGTAGCCCCCCTCTAGAAGGAAGGACAGCACCAATTCAGAGATGATTTGAGGATCTACAGCCGAGTGATACACAAATAATATACATTTTTGTTAACAGATAAGGTACTCGAATGCATTTTTAAGATTTAACTCCTGAGTTTGGTGTCACTTTAATTTAGAAGCCCGCCAAGTCTTGAGTGCCCGTGGATGGTTGGCGCTAGCCTGCTGCTCCAACCACCCTCCAGCGCCCATGGGCACCTTGTTGTGTTCTAGGAGGGAAAGTTTACAAACTTGCTCCCCTTCACCCATGCAGTGGGGACCCCAAAGGGGGGATTGTAATAAAAGACATCTTCCTCACTCCCAACAGCCTGTCCTATGATGTCACTGAGCAGTACATTTTCACTTAACATCTGATTTCTTAGGCGAAATATATACCAAAAACAACAAATAGCGGTGACAGACACGTTGCTTTGAAACCCCCCCCACCTCACCTTCCTTGTCGTTGCCCACGGAACCCCCTAAGGGACCCCCTCGCCCGGCTAGGATCTTCCCACAGGCTGGAGGCGTCAGCAGATTCGACACAGGCTGTCCGGCGGCCGGAAAAAAAAATCCTGAACGTCTGAAA